GATGCATTGAGCTCTTGGGATGTTGGAACAAATATTTGGAAAATGGATGTGGATTTGCCCGAAATCGTTTCTCAAGCCTGCCCATCTGGGGCAGATGTGGCCTTTAAAGTGTGGCATTTGTTTCGGCTTTTTGATTGGAGGAACCCCGAGCTCCCTAGACGATCGTATTACATGGTGTGAATTGGCCATGTATTATGCAGTGTACGTATTTTGGATGTTCTTTACCTATTTGGATTTTTCAAGGTGGAAAGAAACACGCATTGCTCGCGGCTTTTGACTCGCCTGAAGCAAAAATCCAAAAACCGGAAGCTCGCAGTATTTGGCACCAAGCCAACAACTTACGTGCAGTTGTGAGGTATTTGGAGAATGCGTTAAAATGCCAACTCTACCCGAGATACAAAAAGACTGGAGCTTCCTCTCTGATTCGTTTGGGGTATCATCCACGCCTGATTGGGGGGGTCTCTGCACGTCCTTCCTTTCCTGATGCGGCTATGCTTATGGAAAACATCTCTAACTATTCCTCCCTTGCTAACCAACCCTATCCGCTGAACGTTCGTCTTGAAATGCCGCTGATTGAAAACCTCGGCAAATTGAATGCACACCGTATGCTACAGGCCGCTACCCTTTGGTCAAAGCCAAAATTTGTACCAAAGGGTCAAGAAATGCATTCGTCTTAAACGGCCATTACACACCTTAGCAATTTCGTCTTGAGGGATTGAGCACGCTGTCAATTCATAATTCACCTTGATGTAAGCGGCTGAGGCTCAACCCGCTTACGCTGTTGGGTGGTTCGCATGTTTTGTACTTATAGTGTTTTCTTTACATAGCCTACCTCGGGTACCCCGCCTATTATGTGGAAGGACCCTGAGGCGCGAACACGGATCGATCGCGAGTTGGTGTGGTGGTAACGATGCATTTGTTACAAAGCTTCACAAAAGGACCTTGCTTGGCTCTAAACATCTGAGTGAAAGAAAACTCCATTCCAGCCCAAATTGTGCTTATGTTTGTCATTGACACCTACACGCCTACACGCTCCGATTGGGAAGCAAAACCTCTGAACATCAAGGTGCAAACTCTTGCAAAGTTGGTACAATACCAGTATAAGTTGCTCTAAGAGAAGGTGCCCCAAGAAGCCAAACCCCATGAAACCCAGACTCATGCGGACAGTACCACCCATTCGATCGCCAATTGCTGGCCACCAGATCCACCCTGCGGATCGATCGATTTGCGAAATTCCGTCCGTTGTCGCACCTCTTCAGCCATGGTGGACAGGTGGGCCCATGAAAGGAGCACCGGAGAGACACAGAACTCGAGGAGTGTTTGTGGAAGAGGAGTGCTGAGAGCGTGGAAGAGTAGGGCGTGGGTGGTATGGAGTGAGCGAAATCACTTGTTCGTCTCGCTGTTGAGGATGGTTGAGTATGGTTGAGTATGGTTGAACTGTTGATCTTGCAAGGTGTGTGGTGTGGTCGTCCTTTAATGACACTACGACAATGCCGCAAAAATTGGACTGAAATGGGTGGGCACAGTACATCAATCGTTCTTTGGGAGTGTCATGACCAACATGAGTAAGTCTGCTTGGATTAGAGCAACTCATCAAGCTGATCCACCGAAGGCTTCGTGTCGAAACATATCTTCGCTCCTTGCAACGAAAAGCCATGCTGCCACTACCTGCATGGCATGGCTGGAATTCAACGTGTTTGTTTTACATCAACAGGTAGGATTTTCCATGGAAGTGGAATCCGAGCATGCTGTGATTGTGTTTGGCAGGTGCTGCTTGCACTTTCATGCAGAAAGCTTGGAATCTATGCCAATGTCGCTGCATCTGCGGATGGCCGTCGCTGTGCGCGTGGTCGATCAGGTAGATTTACTGGGAGTCACCGCGTCACAAAGCGACCACAGGCTGGGAAGGAGAAGTTTCAGTCACTTTTGCATTGGGAAGGAGTCATCCAGGTGATTCTGTAGATGTGGAACAGTGTCTTGTGGAACTTGTTTCGTTTTCACACTGGAAACACTTCCACTTCTTGATGTTCAGGGACATCCGGTGTGGAGGATCTGTCTGGCCTGCAGTTCAAAATAACTGTTCAGACAAATGGTTTGGTTCACCCACCAGCGGGACACAGGCAGAACATCCCCTTGATGGCAGACTCCCAATCTGTTGCGACTCAGTTGCAACAGGCAAGACAACATTTCACCAGCTGACCAGCTGCACCGGTAGAAACAAACAAGCTGAAAGTCACCCGGTTTTTGTCGCAGATCGCTGAGTCGGTGAGTTATGAAGGCGGTGTCTGGAAGAGGACATGGGCTTTGCAGACAAGGGTCTAGCTGGAAAATAACATTGCGGGAGTGTTCAAAGGGTGTTCTCCTAAAGTCTGGAACATCTGTGGAATAGAGGAGTCTGGGTCACTTTCTCCCAGAGGTGGAGACCCGTGTTATCAGAGCTTTATCTTTATATTTATACCGAGAATCCCTGCAAACCCTAAACCCCCTAAACCGTGCTTCAAGTGGGCTTCACACACGTGGAAACCCAAATGAGACCTTTTAGAAGTGACTTGGGGTCACAGCATGTCTTGTGGACTTCCCCGATGAATCGAGCCCACTTGTTCCAATGCTTTTCTGATCGATCTCCTGTGGATTCTGCTGATCCCCGAGGATCCGATTTCATCCTCCAAACCTGGTGACTTGGGGAGCCCTCGCAAGTCAAGAGCTTGCCAATTGATATTGCTGGGATGAATCTGAGGGGCTCTGCGCTCTGCTGCTGGGTGAACATCAAAACCATCATATTCTTCAGCCAGGAACCCTTGACAAACCTGGTGAGAATACTTCATGGTCTAGCAGGGCTGGATGGTGGATGTGGTACTCCCCACCTTCACCAAGGCACCGGGGTGTTCCCATGCCATGGCAACCCACATCTGGCTTCGAGTTTGAGGGTCTGTCCAATCCTATGAACCATCTCTTCCAATCCATCCCCACCGCCTCCATCCCATTCATTTTGCCGGCGAAAGGATCGTTTCGTCTTCAGAGGGTCGTCACCGCTCTCGTCTCGTCACCAGGCTCCATGACAATGCCTCACGCCGCGCGAAACGTACGTGGCGCGCAACGAGTCTCGGAACCACCACCGGCGTACACGCTGGACGCTGGCAGGGGCAGGTGGCCGATTGTCCTTACCACCATGGCTTGAAGAGGTGTAAATTCACGTCAAACCCAGCGTTGAAGGAGTACACATGAAGATGTCCATGTTTTTGTTTAACATGTATATTACACCAGGACATGAAGGAGTATACCTTCTATACATTGAAGGAATACACCAACATATCCAAAAAATGTCCTGCTCTTCATCAGGGTTGTGGTGGCATGTGGTCCCCAATCCAACAAGCTCCGGTCTACGGTCGAACCAAAGAGAAAGCGCAGCCACCCCGGGTCGGCTGGTCATGGCTGCTCGGCAGTGCTGCGGCTACAAACTTATGTCGATGGCGTGCGCAAGAGCAAAAGACTTCCAGTTTTCTGGATGTCCAGGTGCCACTTGAAACTGCTTACCCAAGGACCCAAGGGTGATCGAAGACTAAGCCATTGAAACCTTGATCCATTAATTAGGGCCTGTACTAGTATATGATATTGGCACTTTGTTTAGGTGTGAATTGAGTGATAGTCATGATTGGTGAATACGTGAAGGAACAAATAATGTGTCAGCACTCCCTACATCTAACAGGATGACCCGCCCTTTTTGCAGGCACTATATCCCAACCATGAGGATACAAAACCCCGCTGAAAATGGCAAGCGATGCATAACCCCAAAAAACACGATGCTTTCATTGACTCTGTGGGACAATGTCGTTTCTTCAGAGATAGGGTCACCACCAAGAATTGGCCAAACATCCCAAGACACCGTGTGGTTGTGATACTAAATGATTCACCTTGTGCATTTGTAGAATCAGCATGTCCCTGTGTTGGAGGTGGGTGTCAGATGGTGTTGGTGTCGCTCTGGAAAGGAGAGTTTTAAGATGTTTTAAGCGATTTCCTTCTGATTCAACATGAGGATCCCTCCACTCTGCCCTAAACCATGATACATGCTCATGGTTTAGGAGTTTTGGACCGTCTTAAGGCCTTCCTTCTTGAACTTCAACGGGAGAACTCCGCTTCAGGATCTCCGAACGGGTCGGTTTTGATTGCACGACCGTTCGTCGGAGGGGCGCGACCGGGTCGCACCTCCCCGGTTTCGGAGAGAGTCCACCAAGGTCTTGTCCTGCGTGCCGTACGTTAGCGCGTGCGCGTGCCGTACAAGCGCGGCACTTGCGGCCGGTGCGTGGAGGACGGAGAAAAAGCCACGGAAAAAGCCATGTGTTGCTCAAACTACAGTTACTAGTTGTTGGGTTGGTCGGTGCTGGAATGCTGAATATCATTACCTCATATTTCCTCTAGCCATGCGGTGTCATATATAGTTGCAGTATATATATATATTATATATATGTATTGTAATATGGAAGCTCAAAAGCCAAGAAGTCAAGCAATGATTGATGACTGGCCCTTCACCCGTCCCGTCCTTGCGCTCTCGCACTGAGGACATGGGTCGGCAGTGCTGATCAAAGGCCTCACGGTTTCTGATCTCCGGTCTGTGGTCGGACTCGCGGCTGATCAAATCTGGTGGACCGGTCGTGCTCCAGGTGCCGACCCATCCCACCCATCCCCAAATCGAGCAGACCAGACACAGTTCTGTAACAGTGATCGTATGTGACCAGAGTTGATTCACAAAAAAGACAGTGGGTGGACACGATGAAAAGGTAAACACGGTGGGGGTCTGGCTGTAGCAGTATTAACAACCAACTGTAGTATTAACAACCAAACAGGAGAAGGGCTTCATTTCATGCATTGCTCTATGCTTGACAAACATGTACAATCCTGGAATAGACATGGATATAGAAGTCTCCCATGAGTAGGTAGTAGGTAGACCAGGTATTTGCATGAAGGATCCTTCTAACCTCTTGATCTATCCCAAAACCAAAGGGTCACAAGTTGTAGGACTGATCTTCTTTCACTTCGCTCGTCCCACCCCGAAAACGTCCAAACCTTCTCGCACCGGAGACCCACCCCGACCGACGTGGACGGGCCTTGGCTGCAGAGCCCAAGAGCCCTTGGCCCCAGGACACGAAGCTCGACCCCGCGGCCGCCGTTCTTACGAGGAAGTCCTGCAGCGGGGAGGAGGACCCGCGGTGAGAGGAGAAAACAAAAGGGTTTCAGGTGGGGGGGTGTTTTTCGGGGGTCCAAGAGCCAAGGGGCTGGAGGTTTGCCAAGCAGTTTTGAGTTGGACAGTTCTGGAGATTGATGAAGAGTGCTAATGACTGACTTTGATATTCCGAGATGATGTTTGGGGCATGCTAAGAGTACTGCCCACACCAGGCTCTTCGCCTGGTGGCCTCATCAACGCTGGCATGGGCTCGATGTCTATTAATTGCCTGTGAATGAATCAGCGTCAAGGGAGGGAGGTTCAAACAAAACATTTGATTCTTCATGTGCGAAGAACCCCCCAAGAATTTGAGTTGGTCATAGTTGGTTTCTATACTTTGACCAAATGCAGTCGGGGCCACCTCATGACTATGGCAATACCAAACTCTATAGTCTATACATAGGATAAACAGAACAAATAATCCACCCAAGAGTTACATGTGCATCGGAATGTGACGCAACATAGGAACTTCTGAAGCCCTGGAACGAGTGAAAACGCCGTACCCGCCCTGCGGAAGAAAAAGGACGGCGGACAGCCCGAATGGACGGCCCGGACAGCCGACATCACACGTCCCCAGGTTTGGGCCGTTGAACGGCCCAGGTCTCAACCGTTTGGCTTCGAAAAGGCCTTCCTTTCCGTTCACACTTGTGCCCTGACAGGACGGAGCCACTCGACCCAATGTGAGGACGGAGCGACCGAAACAGAAAACAGGACGGAGCACCGTTCACCCTTTCCATGTGGTTCTGTCCCACACTGACGTTCTGGTTCTTTCTGACGAAAGGAAGGCCACTGGCGAGCTCCATCAGGGTGAACGAACTCCATCTTCAAAGCTGGGTGGAGAATGCTCAGCTCGTCCACGCGAGTAGACAAAGGCCCCCCAAAAAACTTCACCCCATGTCCCCAGGTTCATGAAATCGATCTTGCCGTGGGTCATTTTTGTCCCCATGCCAAAGCTTTGGTTCCAACAAAAACCACCCAATTCGATCTTGTTGATCTTTGCCCCTATGCACATTCCACCTGTTACGGGGCTCAGTGTGGCCGTCCCCTGCCTGGGTGCTCTCCCTGGCTGCATTGGCCATGCGCGTGATGGGGCTGCCCTGGCGGCTGCGCGGCAAGTCAGGGTCGCAAGTCAACTGAATCGGAGCCCCCTCCTCTGTGGAGGACAACCGGGCTGTGAACCGATCATCCGTCGTGCTTCGGGTTTTCCACCCGATCGGCGAAGGTGTAACGATCGGTCCGTTGGCTGGGCTTGTGCATTGTGCATTGTGCTTTGCAGCTCAGACCGGTCCCTGTTGTAAGTGAAAACAGCCCATTGGAAGCAAAAGCCACTTAGTATATGTGCGGCGGTATTTATTTGGTACTAAACTCAAATTGCACTATCTATTATGTGGGGGCCCTATCTCGTTTAGACTACTTAAGTAGGAGGTCATGTCACAGTATCTCGTTCAGACGACTTTAGTAGCAGATACTGATGATAGCAAATAGAACATGCCGTAGACTACAGTACTTTAGTAAAGCCTAAATAAAAGTGGTTGCTCATATGATAGGTGTCCACACCCTGGAAGACTAACAAGGACCCTGAAAACCACTGGTTGGTAGAGGAAAACGCTCTTCCAGGGGTGCCAAACAGTCAGGGTCTATGTTAGTTTTCGGGAGTGTAATCAAAAAGGGTTCAAGCGGACACAGATCGGTTTCGAGTCCCAGAACCCTTCGATCTTAGCTTTTTCGGGTGTTGCCAGCGCAGAGCTGATGGGCTCAGCGCCAACTGCATTCCTGGAGGTGGCAGGTGACTGGTTTTCGCCTAAGCCTGCGCCATTGTTTGATCTTCGCCGCCCACGTGGCATAGACCCGTGGACAAAGAGGTCCAAGGAAAGAAGGGTGCTACAACTCCCTTTGCAAGAAGGAACAGTTTCCCAACAAGAGTACCCAAAGCTTGGTACATTTTCTTGTGCAACACCATAGTTGGCCTCGGCAACAATCTTGGAACAATCCAAGACGGAATATCCGGTGAATCTTCAGAAAGCCAGGGGCGGGGCGGACTAGCAGAAAGGGCCAGCAACAGGCGCCCTTCTAACTAGTCCACTCAAATGCTTTTGTGCCTTCAGATTCAAGATTCGGCCACTTCTTCATGTTCCAACAAATCAGATGTTCAGAAAAAAAAAAAAAAAACAAAACACGTGTGGAACCGATTCCGTTCGGTGGGCGAAGCGACATGGTATCGGACCGATTCGGACCTGCTCAGACAGCAAGGGGCTTTCCACCTCCCAGATCTGTACGGCCGCCTGGGACTGCACCGGTGGGGAAGGGCACGCGGGCAACCAGTAACCAGGTTTGATACACCTGCGTTAACATGAAGTCATGGAAGCAAAATAAGAGAAACACTGCACCTATAAACGCCTTATGAACAAGCATTACACTAATTCAACAGATCCTAAACGATCTAAAAGGTCATATTGGGTTCTTTCTGATAGGGGTCTACCTGATTGGCTTGGGAAACGCCAAACTATGACCTCTCTGTTTGCCGCAAACCCGAATTGGCCGTGACTGGATGGCGGCCCAGTAAACGCCGTGAAATCGGCACACACTGATGAGTCCTAAAATCTATGCGCGAATCAACATGAGGAGATCTGCAGCTGTCCCAGAATCCATCCGATGTCGAATTCAATTGACTGAGTTGGGCTAGCTGGCGACTCGGTTCAACAAAAATATGTTGTTCGATTCTCATTCTGGTCAAGTTCGGTTTGGAGTCCTCTGGGCACTTGCAAACTCGTGGTTTCCACCGTCCAGGACTCCTGTCTTTGCAACAAACCTTTGTTCATGTGCTGCCAAGTTGAGGGCGATGGGGGTGCATGAACCACCGGTTCAGTTTCTCTCAATTGGTTAAAAATGATATGCAGGGCTTGCATTCAAACAAAAATACATTGTTCTTTTTACTTTATTGGAACTAACCAAATTAAGTAAATGTTGTTACTTCTTCATGTGACTCAGGCATCTTCAAAACCCTGGTGTTTGAAATCTGTTTCAGGACCTCTAGCAAGAAACCCAGCTGGTGCAAGTTCTTTGTTTTGTTCAATAATTGGACTGCGGTGGTTGTATGATATATGATTTAGTCGAGCCATCAAATCACCAATCACGTCAGGCAAGCCATCCATTCCTGTCCATCTTTGATCTTCTGTTCACTTCTTCATGTGATGCAGCTTCAACGCCGCGCATGCTGCCCACTACAACTCGCATAGATCGCGCCTGGATGACGACCCTCAAAGGAAAGCGCCGCCTGGAGCAATTACACACATGTTTTTGGCATACTAATTATGCAAACGGTGCCAAATTAGTAAACAAAACTTGGCATACTGATATGCAATTGATGCCTTTCATATAAGGTAGCATTTCCTGCATCATTGCAGTGTGACCGTATAACAACTTTCAACCCGCAAAAACTGCGTTTGGAACATAAACTAGAAACAATCACACACTGCTTTGCAACTGCTGAAATGCACGCAAAGCTCGAACTGAAAAGAAGACCTCTTGTGTTTGGGCACCATAAACGTTTACGCTGCATCTTCCCCCTGCATCCCTTGCCAACTCGCGGCTCCCTTTTCCGTCCCCGCCTCAAGGGTGGATAAGGGCCTGCAGTGGCGGCCAGGCAGCTGCGGAGGTTCATCCGATCTGCCTCAGCAGCTGGAAGAAGCAATGAAGAGTAAAGGACCAAGCCAAACTGCCAGCACCGTGTGCCAGTGCAGCCTGCGGCTGAAGTAAGCACTAGCGCGTCGCAGCGCAGGTCAGGTGGTGGGTGGTCAGGTCTCATGTCTTATCCGTCTTCACCAAAAGGCTCAATCTTGTGGCATTTGGTTACCTAGAATCAAGAGGGTTCCAGAAAGCACCTCTGCAGTGAACGGTTCCTATCAGCACGGTCTCTATGAGAGATCATTGGACAAGTGGACGTCCCTCAACCAACTTCAGGACATTCAAAGATCATGAGATGTGTCGTGAAATCGTTGTTGGGGAATCTGAAGAACAATGTCGACATCGCCCAAGGAATGCTACCCCATTTATTTGTAAACCGATGGAATCCTTTGCAACACATACATAAACAGCTATGTTCAATGCACATCAGTACGCTAGTTGCTGAACAAACACAACAGATTGTGTGTGTTTGTCCTCAGTTAAACGGGAGATCCACGCGAGGAAACCCGGTCAACACGACCGACCGTGTTTCCCAGCGGAGACTATGTGACCATTTGCTGACGTTGCATTCGAGTGACAAATTCGAGCCTGGCCCTATATTGCTGCATCGAACGGGCCACACTTTGTTCCAAGGTTTGCTTTCGTGTGAAAAAGACTGTCTACAAGCCAATATGAAAAAAATGGAACAGACATTCATTGGATGTAAAGACATTGGTCTTACAGAGTGTTCTATGCCTCAGAGATTGGTCTTATGTATCTTGACTAAGAACAGGCCAGGAATAATGCGCAGTCCTCTCGAAAGTCTTCATGTTTTTTCGGTGAAACCATGGATCCAACGAAAGCCCCTCACTCTTCAAGCTCCCGACAGGCGTCAACTCTTCAGTCTGCCCATGGCCTCCAAGGACGAAACGAGCGGAAGTCGGAACTGCCACCGATGTTGCAGCCGATGTTTAGTTTCAGGTACTAGCAACAAGTGGTTACTAGTAGCAAATAGCTACTAGTAGCTTCTTGTTACTAGTAAAAATATACTCGTTACTAGGCGGATCAAAGATATTTTTTAGTCTGAACTAGACGATGTTGGTGAGTGCTTGAGCCTTCCAAACAATTGTAGTGTGAGATGACCAGCCGTTGAAGAGTTGTTTCCTGCAACTCATGACTATCAGTTCTTGTAACCAATGGAGACGACCATGGCCCCATGCCCCATGCTTTGGTGGATTATTGAATTGGTTGATTTTGCAAGAAATATAGCTCGATACATGCCTGACATATAGATCCTCTATATATGTACTCAACATTGATTTACAGGCTGGTGCAAGTACCAATCACCCTCCGGTCAGTGGCTAACAGAACTCTGAAAGGTGGATTTTTTATACTCCCATTGTCCGATCTGAAGCACAAACCTGCGGGGTGTGGGATGCCAAACCTGAGTTCACTGAAGCCTGTTTGAGCCTGCCTCCGTCTAACCAAACAGGGGAATTCTTGTTTGGAAATAGTTTAGGATCTATGATGTGTTTGATAGTGGTTGATCCTATGCTAAGCCTGACTGGATGCATATATACATATATATGACAAGGGACCTTTTGGGATTATTTCGCTTGTCCTTGCAATGACATAAAGAAGCAGCCACGGACATTTTCTTCAGCCAGTGGCCAGTGTCCGTGCTCGAATCGTTCGAGTCCTAGATCATCCAAGTCCACCTCACGCATCATGCTCTGATACTCCTTAGAGTGGCCACGCAAAGGACCCCGGCTGCTATCTTAACGTTCATAGCATGTAATGTATTTCATTCAGGTCCTCCAACCGATTCATGAGTCTTATCGACAGACCTAATGCAAAGGTCAATATTATATAGGAACAGTCTCTTGTTGCTCGCGGAACCCGGAGCGGCCCGGAAGTGTAAAGTATTCCTCAGAAGAACATGAGCCAGTGGCGGAACGCTAGTTAAACCCGTTGAACTTCTGAATGCAAGCGCAAAGACCAAGGGAATAGGCTATCGTGTTGGATCGTTCGTCGCACTGCCACAAGTAAACAATAGCGCTCAAGAAGGGATCAAGCATCTCTGACAAAACCCAGTCCCAACCGCGTCGAAATGGCTCATACTTCAGTGATTTGCGAGTTTTTTGAACAAACTAAACATGGCATGTTAACTTTAATGTGTATTCCGCCAGCGCCCACCAAAGTGCTTTTATAGACACCATCCAAACACGCGAGCCTATATTTAAAACTGGGCGGTTTGCTGGGAACGCAAACCGAATTTCACAAAGTTTGAAAGCACACTGCGATCCACGCAGAAGCCAAGAAGCAAGCCGGTCTTCGCGCGCAACCAGTAAAGGATTGTCGGGTCTGTTCCTCAGATGAAATACACTGAGATGATATAGGCATAGATGCAAAACTTTCTTCCAGTTACTGACGCTTATGCTAGTGTACGAGTGTGTGTGGAGACGCGCGCGCGCAAAACACATGTACCACCAACAGAAGCAGTCTCAAACAAGCTCCCGCAACTGCGGCTGCTAGAGCATGAGTCGGAAACTACGACAGCAGCACCACTCGAGAAAACCAATCATCACTCAGACCCACAGCAAGCACATACAGGCGCATGCCCTCAGAACAGCAGCAGTATCAAACAAGCCCCCGCAACTGCGGCCGCTGGAGCATGAGTCAGAGCCACTAACAGCAGCATTACTCGCGCAACCAATCATTACTCAGACCCACAACGAGCACGCGCAAGCGCAAGCCCTGAACCCCTTCAGCGTGCCAAAGCCGCGCCAATTCCCTGTGTAGGCTGAAGATATGTATCATTTCAAGAAACGTTGTGTTTGCGGTGCACAAGATGCCCTTAACTCATGCAATGTTGAGGCAGCATCGATCCTTTCTTCACACGCATGACGCTAGCCTTTGGAGTCCTTCCTCACTCCTCGAAAAATGGTCCCCAAGGTGTGGAGCCTAAGCTGCCCTCCGTTTGATTGACGCAGCTCAACACCCGTCGGAGAATCTTCGATCCTGGAGACCTTTTGCCCCACTGAGCATATTTCGTTAACAATGGCCAAGTATACTGGATCCAGCGACAGGCATTCAAGATTGCAAATACCTTCTGAGTCGCAAAACAACTTGGAGGACGGCGAATCTGTTGAGACATACTTGATCTGCATTATGGCTCGGGACGAAAAGCAGGATTCGAAGACTTCCCGCAATGTGGCTGCATCTTCACTTCCAACAGCTTGCATGGCCAGCGCCGCACCCTGAGTCTGGAAGATTAGTATACCTAATTTTAGGTACCTACCGAAACTAATTAGGTACCTACAATTTTTCTTGACAAATTTATGAAAAGAAATGTGCTGTGTTTTTGGCGTTTCTGTGGTGATGTGTACAACCTTTACTCGTGCATTTTTCTTGTCTATGTATATCTACTTGAGCAGGTTTCTTGTCATATGTTTACTTGCGCTTTTTCTTCTCATGTAAGCTTACTTGAGCATTATCTTGTCTCACGACACTCTTTGGCAAAGCTTGTGCCTTTGCTTTGGACACAGCAGGCCTCTTGATCACTGGCGAAGCTGGTTCATGTATGCTTTGCACCATCATCCGTGAGTTCATCCTCTCCAATCATGCTTGCCATCTAAAATGATGTACACACAAGGCCATGATAACTATGATCTTGAACTTGAACAGATGGCGAATATAGACGTTGTTAAAAAAAATCCCAATGAAAGAATCGATGATGTCATAAATGACATAGGAAACCACATGTAAGCATTCAAGACCTATGAAAAAACAAGAAAATTACAAGACCCCCAATGTCTAAACAATCAATATGTGCGTTGAACTTTTTGACGAATTTTGGATGCTTTTTGATGCGCTTTTCATAAATTTTTCATGATTTTGATGAACTTTTGAGCAATTTTGATGCACTTCTAAAGTGTACAAGAAAAGCACATCAAAAGTGCATTAAACGTTCAAGAGTTCAACATTTCATCACATGTCATCAAAATTTCATCAAAAGCTCATCAAAATGCATCCAAAACTCACTAAGTTGTATATGCTTTGCAGACTTCTACCAAATATTGCCAATACTTGCATAAGTAATGTTCTATCACTCTTGGAAAAGTATCAATTAAAAATCAACACATTATAAGTTTACAATATGCCACTAAAGTTCAAATGCTCAGGCAAAAAGTCAACCAATTTTTGAACTTCACAATGAATGCTCAAGTAAAGGACAGTTGGAAAACTCTGATAAATAGGCGCAAGCTTTGCCAAAGAAGTCATGCGTGTCCGGCAACAAACATTTTGGAACTGGTCGGGTCGCAGCAATTAAGCAAAGGCAGTTGGTTGCAATCAACACTGGTAAGACTGGCCTTTAGACGCACAAAAACAAGTGAGGTGCAGCTTTGCAAATTTCTCTTGCAATGATTTTACTTGAGCATTTGTGTAAGCACTTGTTCAGTGGAGTTGATATACTTCAGCATTTACTTCAACTAGACGCACATTGACTTGAGCATACTGGAGCAGTTTTACTTGAGCATTGTACTGGAACAGTTTACTTGAGCCTTTACTGGAGCAGTTGTACTTGAGCATGTACTTTACCAGATTTACCCGAACATTCTTTCGAACCTTAAAAGTGTTTAATTCTTGATTCGGTGAGCCTGAACAAACGATTATTTGATCGCTCTGTGGTGGCATTTCATTTCAGTATTCAGTGGAACCACTTTTAGGACATTTGTTCACATAGACAAATTAATGTACATGATTTTGGGAAACGCATCAGAAGTGTATACGGTCGTTGGAGTTTTCAGCCATGTGTCCTTCAAATTAGGTTTTTCAAAAAAAGACAAAATATTTTCTTCGGATTAATAGTTTGACTAAATTAGCAATTCTTTGCCAACCTTCGCCCGCGGATTGTCAAAATCCGCCTCAAAGCTCTGTCATCTCCGAAGCACGCAGAATTGCGAACATCTGTCCCTGCAAGGTCATACGATATTT